ATTAATTATATGTTTTAAATTTGATAACACCACTGTATTTCGTATCCCCTAAACCTCCAGGGTGTGCACAGTTTAATACTGGCAACTTCTAATTGTGGGAAATACGAAAAGGTCTTATAAAGAGACGTGCCATATAATGTTGTGAAACACACAATTGCCAGTATGTGTAGTTCTGGGACCCGTCCAATTCCAGTTTTTGGAAAGTCTGCCGTGGTTCCATTCCATTTCAAAGAGCTGTTTGACGCTCAGCGTAACCTTGACGCACTGCCACTCCAACATCCAATCACAGGGCTTGATGACTAATCACGGGGTTTGTAAAGCAAGGGGGATGTTGTAGTCCCAAATGATAGCTGGGGATTCTGGGTAGTGTAGTGTCTTTGGAAACTGTAGTGTCTAAACTCCTAAAAAACGATTTGTTTCTCTGAATCGAAGGTTAAAAACACAAAAGCATTGTACACAATTTAAACCAATCAATGTTGTGTAATCAACAAGGATAAACTGATGTGTTTTAGTGGATATGCAGATATCACTGTGTAATCATTTGACAGTGAGGGGAATGTATCCAGTTTTATTATGAAAACTTCGAGACTGGAAAAACTGTTTTCACCCACTCTAACTTTACATGAAAGCTGCACACGTTATCCTGATGAGACCTCAGATCATCTCCGTAACATCTATCAAACTATAGAGCCTACACATCGACTGGGCGTGGATTCTAAGAGTACAATATACACCTCTTGCCAGAAATCGAATCAAAAAGCATTTTAATGGCCAAACTATTCCACAATTTAGGATTTTCCAGAGAGGGTTATTTGTGAATAAAAGCTGTCTTTGGCTCTTCTCTGCTGTAACGATGTACATTTCCCCTCTGTGGGACTAATACAGGTATTCTGATTCTGGTGGCTTGTGGCTCCAGTTGGAACATTTATCTCCAACAAACTCGTTCAATGAAAGGTTTTCAGCGCCACACGATCAAAGATGACCTGGCAGTGTTTGCACCAGGAAACAGATGCATGAGAACAGCTTTGTTCAGTGCCTATCGTCTTTGTCTAAAGGGTTTATAACATCGGCCACTGAGATATCCATTCGTGTTGTTTCTCGTCATGTTTTATGATTTATTGATCTTAGTTTATTTGTATTAGTATTATTTCACGGTTAAGTTAATATTGCCAAGTCTGCGTCTGTTAACCCTTTGTGTTGTCGGCATTTCCTGTTTGTCATTTCCTGTTTGTCATTTCCTGTTTTATGTCGGTGCTAATCTCCCCTCATTTCAGGTCGTTTGCCTCTTTGTGTGTATTTAATCTGTGTTTTCTCTGTGCCGAATACGTTACATCACATGTTAGACGCTTTTATCCAAAGAGACTCACATACTCAACACTGTGGACAATCCCCACAGGAGCACTTTGGGGTGAAGTGTCTCAGGGACACAACGGCATGCTGACTGCAGTGGGGTTTGAACCTGTGCCCCCCTGATCCCAACACCAACGCACTTGTCCAGTGCGCCACAGCCTCCCTACGAGTCGAGCCTTCCAGCGTTTATTGAGCCTTACAAATAGTATTAGAGTTTAGACAGCCAGTTGATTTCTGTGCCTGAGAGTTAGTTAGTATTAGTAAGTATTTAGTCAGTTATGTTTGGAGTCCTTTCTAAGTCCTTGCATTCTAAGTGTGTTCGTATTGCCCTGCAAATCACCAAAGTAAATACCGTTTCTTTTAACCGTCTTTTTGTCTGCAGTCGTGCGTTTGGGTCTTGTTATTTTCTTGTGTGCTCCACTCATAACAATCTGTGGCAGGAGTGAAGTCTTGTTTTTATTGAGTGAAATGTGCACAATTCAAAGCAGCTGTGGGAGACATCTTGATTTATTGGGATTGCTGTTTAGCACATATATGACTTACCTTCTGCCCTGCACCCTGAACACAGTCGATCCCAGTGTCCTTCAGACGGCTGAAATCCCTCCTCTTTCTTTCGCCCTGGATCGATGCCCCTGATGAAAGAGACGAGCCCCATCTGTAATAAAGCCTTATTGACTGCATGGCTGCGGTGCACCTGCTGCATGGAGGCAGGTGCACTGCAGAAGAGTCCCCAAATGTACTAGAAATCCACATTATTTCCATTTTCAGATCCAGACGGAGATAATGGATTCATATTTGATTTATCACCAGTCATTACGCTTTCATTTGTCTGAGGGCTGAGATTCATGCTCCTCCTAATCTTTGACCGTATCTGCACTTATGACAACTTCCATCTCTCAGAAGTGCTTCTCTTGGAAATGATGCTAATGTGTGGTAGCATTCAGCATTAGCAATAAAAGAGCGTTTCTACCATATGCCACTAACACCCTGCAGTGTAGAGGAAACACACCTCTTATGGAGAGTGGAGAGTTCTCCCAGATGCAAGGCTTAGCGTCTCTGTTCTGGGTTATTGGGAAAACAAACTGCACGTCCCAAAACACTGAGGGCAGGAAACACATATCTTTATGTTAACGAGCAGGAAGCTAAGTGTTGATTGGTCACAGATGGAAGCTTCAGAATCAAGAGGAAGTCCAGCTGATACAATGGACTGAATGATGGCTCTCCTGCAGCCTCCTGCTGGTTTATTAGTCCTGATAACATCCATCCTCTTTGTTCCATAATAACGCTGAATTCAAGTCTGCTTCTTCAGAGAGGATCTGGAGCTCCTCCTGAATCATAAACACAGATATAAAACCAGGAGCTGCCTGGATATGAGCTATAGACCCACTTCAATCCCCCAGACCTCCTCTCATCAGACCTAATGAAGAAGAACTGATTTAGGTGTGTGTGTGTGTGTGTGTGTGTGTGTGTGTGTGTGTGTGTGTGTGTGTGTGTGTGTGTGTGTGTGTGTGTGTGTGTGTGTGTGTGTGTGTGTGTGTGGGGTGATGGAAACCAATTTGGTGAAGCAGGAATATAAATTGAAATCAGGACCACAAAACATCCTGAGGCTGGAGGAAGTCCTTCAAGAGAAGGCAGAGTTTGGGAGAACTTTAAGAATCTATTTTAGATTTGAAGCTAATGGGAGAAT